TCTTGGGCTGTCTTGGGGCTCCTCGGGGGCCACTCTGAGGACGAAGCAAGCGAGTATGCTGAAATTGTACGTTTTACACGAGGAATGGGTAAAGTTTTGCCTCTTGAAGGCCCTCTTGGGGCCCTCTTCAAGCCATCCCGGGCCCTCTTGAGGCGCTCTTGGACGTCTTGGGGCCCTCTGGGGCCTCGATGAGGCTGTCTTGTGTGCCTTTTGGGCTGTCACGCGGGCAGCGTCGCCGCGTCGGCGTGGCCGTCGTCGTCGCCGTCGATCGTCGATCGGCGCCGTCGACTATTGTCATCGTCGTCGATCGTCGTCGTCGTCGGTCGTCGACCGTGTCGTTGTCGTCGTCGTTGTCGTCGTCGTCGTCGTCGTCGTCGTCGTCGTCGTCGTCGTCGTCGTCGTCGTCGTCGTCGTCGTCGTCGTCGTCGTCGTCGTCGTCGTCGTCAATCACCGTCGCCGGTCGTCGTCGCCGATCGTCGATCGCCCTCGAGCCTCCTCCTCTCTCCCCCCCTCCTCCCCTCCACTCCTCCTCCCTGCCTCCCCTCCTCCTCTTCCTCCTCTCCTCCTCCTCCTCCTCCTCCTTCGCCCTCTCCGTCTCCTCCGCGCGGAAGAAATCCAACAACATCTCACGCAAATCAACGAACAGTGGCCATCCGGGCCTTTTTGAAGGTCCTTTTAGGGCCCTTTTGGGGCCGTCCTGGGGCCCTCTTGGGCGTCCTAGAAACCCGGAAATCATGTTCCCGGAGAAAATTATGGGAACATGATTTCGAACGAGGACCTCTTGGGCTTTCCTGAGGCCGTCTTGGGGGCGGCAGGAGCCTCGTCCGCGGCCGCGGCAGGAGCCTCGTCCGCGGCTTCCGCTGGGGCGTCCTTCTATCGAGACGACGACGACGACGACGACGACGACGACGACGACGACGACGACGACGACGACGACGACGAGCCTCCTGGGCCGGCTTTGGGGCCTCTTGGGCCGTCTTTGGGGGGTTCCGTGAGCCTCACAGGACGACCCGTTTGGGCCGTCGTGGGCCCTCTTGGGTCTCTCTTGGGCTGTCTTGGGGCTCGGGGGCGTCTGGGGCACTGTGAGGACCAAGCAAACGAGTATGCTGAAAAAATGCATGCTTTACGAATGGGAATGGGCCGGTGTTTGCCTCTTGAAGACCCTCTTGGGGCCCTCTTCGGCCATCTTCAAGCCATCTCGGGCGCTGTTGGGGCGCTCTTGAGCGTCTTGGGGCCCTCTTGGGCCTCGCTGAGGCTGTCTTGTGGGTCTCTTGGGCTGTCTTTGGGGCCTCATGGGCCGTCTTGGGCGGGTTCGTGGACCCCACAGGACGCCCGGGGCGGCCATGCCAACCGGTGGCACCACCCCACCCCCGCCCCCGGGCCCCGTCCGTCTGTCCTACTGCTCCTCTCCAAACCCTCGTTCCCTAACCTCCCGATCATGTTCCCGGACCCCCGTCCCTTCCCCCCAGAGCACCGCAGCAGTAGGAAAGCGTTCCGAAATGGTGAGAAATCATGTTCCCGGAAAGCGTTCAAGAATATGAATCGTACTTCGTCCAAGGCGCCTCGGAAGGCGCAGAATACTCCTCCAAGGCGCGGGATCATGTTCCCGGACCGCCTTCCGGGAACATGATGGGGACGACCTCCTGAGGGCCTCCAGTGGGCCTCTCGGGGGCCTCTCGGAGGCCTGTGGGGCTCTCCTGGAGGCGTCTTGGGGCGCGCTCAGGGCCATTTTTTGGCATCTTGGGGGCCTCTTGGGGGCCTCCAGGGAGGCCTGTTTGGGGCCTCTTGGGGCCTCGCGGGGCCCTCTTGGGGCCCGCTGGGCTCGCTTAGGCAATCTTGAAGCCCTGTCGGGGCTCTCCTGGAACCGTCTTGGGCGGCTCCTGGGCCATCTTGGGGCTCTCCTGGGCCGTCTTGGGACGATTTTGGGGGTCTCTTGGGCCGTCTTGGGGCGGTCTTGGGGGCCTCTTCGGCCGTCTTGGAGCGGTTTTGGGAGACTCTTGGACGGTCTTGGAGCGTCGGAACCCTGAAAAAGCGAGAAGGCCCAAAGCCTAGGAAAAAAAACAATACAAATCAACGATTTGGCTTGTCGCGGCTCTCTTGGGAGGCCTCTTGGGATGCCTTCGGGGCCTCATGGAGCTCTCTTGGAACGTCTTCGGGGCTTCCTGGCCATTCCTGAGGCTATCTATACGCGTCTTGGAGCGCTCGCGGGCCGTTTTCGGCGGTCTCGATCTGTTCCTGGCGGTCCCAGGGGCCCTCCGGGACGCTTCGGACGCTCCCGGGGGCGCCCTGCACCCCCCATGGAGATTACAGGCACCGCCCCGGGCCGCCCCCGGGCCCGACTCCGACGTATGTATATGTGTGTGTGTGTGTATATATATGTGTGTATATGTGTGTATATATATATATATATATATATATGTGTGGAAACATACGTAAGACATGTAGGATAGTGTACACAAGCTATAGAAACATACGTACGTCGTCCAAGGCGCCTCCGAAGGCGCCTCGGAAGGCGCAGAATACTCCTCCAAGGCGCGGAATCATGTTCCCGGACCGCCTTCCGGGAACATGATGGGGACGACCTCCTGAGGGCCTCCAGTGGGCCTCTTGGGGGCCTCTCGGAGGCCTGTGGGGCTTTCCTGGAAACGTCTTGGGGCGCGCTCAGGGCAATTTTTGGGCATCTTGGGGGCCTCTCGGGGGCCTCCAGGGAGGCTCTTGGGGGCCTCTTTGGGGCCTCTTGGGGCCTCGCGGGGCCCTCTTGGGGCCCGCTGGGCTCGCTTAGGCAGTCTTGAAGCCCTGTCGGGGCTCTCCTGGAACCGTCTTGGGCGGCTCCTGGGCCATCTTGGGGCTCTCCTGGGCCGTCTTGGGACGATTTTGGGGGTCTCTTGGGCCGTCTTGGGGCGGTCTTGGGGGCCTCTTCGGCCGTCTTGGAGCGGTTTTGGGAGACTCTTGGACGGCCTATATATAATACGTATATATATACACACACGGAAGAAATTGAAATACGTGGAAGGAAGTGGCACGACTCGGGAGGGCTTGGGGGAGGGGTATCTCTCTCCCTCTCTCTCTCTCTCTCTCTCTCTCTATATATATGTGTATATATAAATAAATAAAGAAAACTATACTTATACGTATATGTATAGAAACATACGAAAGACATTGTGTACGCAGTAGAAGGACAATCTATAGAAACATACGTACGTCGTCCAAGGCGCCTCGGAAGGCGTCTCGGAAAGCGCAGAATACTCCTCCAAGGCGCGGAATCATGTTCTCGGACCGCCTTCCGGGAACATGATGGGGACGACCTCCTGAGGGCCTCCAGTGGGCCTCTTATACATATATATATATATATACAGAAACATACGTAAGACATGTAGGACTGCGTACACAGGAGAAGGACAATCTATAGAAACATACGTACGTCGTCCAAGGCGCCTCGGAAGGCGCTTCGGAAAGCGCAGAATACTCCTCCAAGGCGCGGAATCATGTTCCCGGACCGCCTTCCGGGAACATGATGGGGACGACCTCCTGAGGGCCTCCAGTGGGCCTCTTGGGGGCCTCTCGGAGGCCTGTTGGGCTCTCCTGGAGGCGTCTTGGGGCGCGTGTATATATATATATATATATATATATTATATATATGTGTGTGTATAGATATATATATATAGGGAAGGAATTGAAATACGTGGAAGGAAGTGACACGACTCGGGAGGGCTTGGGGGAGGGGTATATATATATGTATATATATATATATATACACGTGTCCTTATATATATATATATATATATATATATATATACACATATATATATACATACATACGTAAGACATGTAGGATTGTGCACACAGGAGAAGGACAATCTATAGAAACATACGTACGTCGTCCAGGGCGCCTCGGAAGGCGCCTCGGAAAGCGCAGAATACTCCTCCAAGGCGCGGGATCATGTTCCCGGACCGCCTTCCGGGAACATGATGGGGACGACCTCCTGAGGGCCTCCAGTGGGCCTCTTGGGGGCCTCTCGGAGGCCTGTTGGGCTCTCCTGGAGGCGTCTTGGGGCGCGCTCAGGGCCATTTTTGGGCATCTTGGGGGCCTCTGGGGGCCTCCGGGGAGGCTCTTGGGGGCCTCTTTCTTTGGGGCCTCTTGGGGCCTCGCGGGGCCCTCTTGGGGACCGCTGGGCTCGCTTAGGCAGTCTTGAAGCCCTGTCGGGGCTCTCCTGGAACCGTCTTGGGCGGCTCCTGGGCCATCTTGGGGCTCTCCTGGGCCGTCTTGGGACGATTTGGGGGGTCTCTTGGGCCGTCTTGGGGCGGTCTTGGGGGCCTCTTCGGCCGTCTTGGAGCGGTTTTGGGAGACTCTTGGACGGTCTTGGAGCGTCGGAACTCAGAAAAAGCGAGAAGGCCAGCAACCTCGAACAAAAACAATTAAAATCGACGATTTTGGCTTGTCGGGGCTGTCTTGGGAGGCCTCTTGGGATGCCTTCGGAGCCTCATGGAGCTCTCTTGGAACGTCTTCGGGCCTTCCTGGCCATTCCTGAGGCTATGTATGCGCGTCTTGGAGCGCTCGCGGGCCGTCTTGGGCGGTCTCGAACTGTTCCTGGCAGTCCCAGGGGCCCTCTGGGATGCTTCGGACGCTCCCGGGGGCGCCCTGCACCCCCCATGGAGATGACAGGCACCGCCCCGGGGCCCTACCTCGATATATATATATATATATATATATATATATATATATATATATATGTGTATATATATATATATGTGTGTATATATATATATATATAGATTGAAAAACGCTTGGATACAGCAAACAAGGTGGAGAGTGACGGATCCAACAAATAAATAGCCTGGAACAGCGCGCTGGTCAACCTGCTATAGGCAAACCCATGGCGCAGTTGAAACGCAATTGGCAACAATTCGGAGCGCTGTCCATGCCAAGAAACGATTTGTGTGCCGTGAGTGCTGAGTGCCCTGGCGGTCTGCATTGCCAGTGCATCGCAGCGAGGCACCTACTAGCTGAAGAAAACCGCCGCCGTCTCCGCGGACACAGTGACAGGCTGGCGACACTGAGGGCAACGAACGTGTCCGTTGCTCTCTTGCGCGGCATGTGCAATGCATGCCTCCGCGCAATCAAGATGGAGAACATGGCCGCACCGCATCGCCACCGCTGGCTCGGGCAGGTTCTGGAGCCGCTGGCACGCGTCCTCCACAGACAGGCCACTGGACCCTATGCGTCCGAGCCACCGCCGGGACCGCGCCACGGGGGCACCGACGTCGTCCGAGGACGTGCTACCCGCCGCGTGCAGCACATCCGAGGCCTCTGCGAACTCACGCCTGCAGATCACGCATGGGTCCTCTGGCCTCAGGTAGATCCGCGCCGGGCGGTTCGCGAGGATGTTCTGCAGTGCCTCTGACTGCGTGACTCGCGGCAGGAGCGGCTCGGCTGCGGCGGGTGCGCCGCAGGCGGCCCCGCCGTGCTCCGGGTCCAGCGCGCCCTGCTGCCGCTGCTGCTGGCGGTGGCGCTGCCGTCGGCCGCGGATGTTCCCGAGCTCCTCGCCCTGGAGCAGAGGGCCCAGGCTCGCCGTGTTGTGGCAGGCCCAGGCGGCCAGGTACGAGACGGCGGAGATCACGCGCCAGGTCGGTGGCAAGCCCATCGTCCGCCCCAGGTACATTGGGCAATACGTGAGGAGAAGCGCCTTGGAGACGGCCCTGACGATCACGACCACCTCGTTCCACTTGCGCTGGCAGAGCATGGACTGTCCGGCGGGGGTCTGCATGTCCCCGTCGAAGGGGGGCCACGAATCGAGGCTCGGGGAGAAGTAGCCGCAGCCGGGGCAGGAGTTGTTCGTGTAGGCGCCGCTGCGACGGTGCTCCTGGTGGTGTGCGCGCAGGTCCGCGCAACCCGCGTAGTCCACGGGCCCAAAACCGCAACTGGGACACTGCCGGGGGTCTTGCATCGTTGCCGCGAGGTTTTGCCGTTCTTCCGCATCCACCGACTCGAGCGTCGGGGTCCTGCGCACCTGGCGCAACTTCGCCAGGCAACTGTCGACCATCGTGTAGATCGTGACCTGGACGCTCGCGATCAACAACATCGCGAAGCTCGAGTCAGTGACGGGGCCTTTGAAATCAGCATGCAACGTGTCTGCGATAGGAAGGCGCTCGGGAAGTAGCCGTGCCAGGTCTCCTAGCGATTGCAGCAGCACGGTCAGCCCGCAGCTTGCAAGCAACACCACGGGGATGGCGCAGAGCGGTCGTACCTCTGCGAACAGCTGCGCCCGGTATAGGAACGGTCCCGCGTGGTGCACGAGTCGCCGCACCACTGGGGCCACAAGCAGATCACCCACCGAGCGCAACGCCCTCCAAGGCAGGGAGATCACCCACGCCGAACTCTCCAGGAAGATTAGCAAGCACGTTGCCTGCAGCGGGTTGGGCTCCGAACCTGGGCTCCACACGCGCACGATGCCGTGGATGCCAAGGATGAAGACCGAGACGGTGGCGGCCCCCCCGCAGAAGGCATTCGTGGCCAGCTCCAGAGACTGGTCCAGGCCGGGGCGGTAGGCGCCCCAGCGACGGAGCACGTCCCGATGACAGGCCAAGGCCACGCACGCCATGACCGCTGGCATGACCAGGGTGTGGAAGCGGTACCAGACCGGCTGCAGGAGCGCCAGCAGCCAGCTGGACAGCAGTCGGTGCATGGCTGAGCGCAGGCAGTCTCTGACTCTGGGCAGCGCCAGCGCCAGGAAGCTGCACAGTCCACGGACATACTCCGACAGCCTCTTGCACACACGCTCCCAGGGGAGCGCGGAGCAGCACTCCGACAGTCGTCGCAGGCACCCGTCCCACAGAATCAAGCTTCCCAATGCGAGACAACAAGATAGGGCATAGAGGATGTCGGAAACGAGGCTGCCTGCCGGCACTGCAGCAATGGACATGAACCGCAGAGACGACGAGAAGAGCAGCACGCCCAAGCGGGCCATCACGGGGTGCCAACAGTTGAGTGTCCAAGGTTCGAAAACTAAAAGCCAACTCCAGAGTTGACAAGTGACCGCAAAGACGCCCGAGTGGCTCACTGGATAGCTGGCAATAAAGTGCACCAAGTTTGGCCCCAACAGTTGGTGAAGGCCACTGCCCGGAGGTGCCACAATACCTGGAAGCTGCAAGGTGCCATCGAGAGCAAACACAAGAACAATGAATCTTGCGATTTCAGTAACACAGCGCGTGCCCCGGATTCCATCGAGCAGCGCGCCGCAGCTGATGCCGAGTAGGACTGCAGCCGACAACCAAATCAGTCCCGTCGGCAGCGACTCGTTCAAGAAGGGTTCCAGCAAGGGCCATCCCGAGTAGACCGCCGCGACGGTGAGCGGACGGGCGGGCAATCCGAGTGCATCCAGGGCAATCGAGGCCGCCGCGTCCCACGAGGCGACGCACAGGTCGTGGAGGAAGGTCCCCATCGGCCCGCGACGGCACGCGCCGTGTGACTAGTTGTCGCTGCGGGGGGGGAAGCAGACGCGACGCCCATGGCACGCCGCCGCGGGGGACCCGTCGGCGTGTTGCTGCTGAAGAATGAAAAGGGGCCCAGGGGGCACACAGATAAATAGACGCAAACCCCGTGCAGGATCACCAGTCTTGTCTAACATTCTATGGGCTTTCGTCTTCCCCACCGCGTGCCACAGTTTCCCAGATGTTCCCCGGGAGTCGACGATTCGCTGTGTCTGTGCGTGCGTTCGCTCCCTCCTGGAAGATGCGCCAGGCTTCTGGACAGGCGCGAGGGAGCAAGACACGCGGACGGGCTCCCGACGGCTGCGCGCCGTGGAGCTGCTCCCTTCCCCTCCCGAGCTGCCTCCCTCTGTGGCACATCCTCGGCCTCGAGCCTCCACGGCTTGCCCGTGCGGGCACGCCTGGCAGCGGCACAGACCCGCTTCCCGCACCCACGGCAAGCTCCTGCCGGGACGGCGTGGGCTCTGGCCCCTGCCGCCACCGCGTGCACCCCAGGCCCCCAGGGACTCCACAGTGTGGAGTCGCCCGAGGCCTCACGATGGACACTCCACAGTGTGGAGCCCACATCTTGGCAGCGACGACTCCACCACGTGGGGTTCACAGTGTAGGGCCCGGAGAGCTCCCCAGGCCCACGACTCGGGCATCTCATGCTCGAATCGTGGGCCCTGGGAGCTCACCGCTTCCCCTGGAGCCAGCTCTTCATTCCGAGCCGCTCTCTCGCGGGTCCGGGGCCGAGGCACGGTCCTGGAGACGCCAAAACATCCCAAGTATCTCCGACGCCGAACACTGCGAAAGACTGTTGGCAACGCTCCCCCTGTCTCCGCGGGGCCGTTGGCCGGTCCCAAGGCAAGAAACACTTCCTGGACGCAAGACTGACCCTGGGGAAGGGGTCGGGACCCAGCGGATTGAGGAAAACACATCGTCGGGTGTCTTTGACGCTGCTCAGCCCGCATTTTTCGGCATGCTGCGCCCATGCATTTTTTCGATCTCATCTTATTGTTTCAGAAGAGTTGTCGACACGCATTTGGCGCGTCGTGGCCTCCTCGTTTGGAGTTGGCTGTGGTGGACGATCGACGGCTCTCGTGCTCTTTGCGGGAAGGCTTTGGGTTGTGGGAATGTGAGGCTTGGGGATGCTGAAGCGTGGGCGACCTCCGCCGTGGGGGTCCCCCACAAGGCTGCCAGACGGTCTCCCGCCTTGGGCGCCCACGTGTGCAGGTGCGACTGCCGTACCGGGGCGGGACCAACCTGGCCAGACTTCTCAGCCACCTCCCTCCTCCCCAGACCTACACCCTGCGAAATGCTTAAGAAATCATGGGTTAAGAAATTCAGAGTCTCAGATCTTGAATAAAAACCCAAAATTTCGATTCAAATCTTAGGATTTACATCGAAACATGAAGAATAATCGAGACTCTCGCCGAAAACTTAGGTTTTCTTAAGCATCGCCTAAGGTGTATACCCCACACCTCCCGCGGGGGAACGCGCTGACTCGGGTCAGCGCTCACCCGGCTCAAGCAGGGCCACGTCGCGAACCCCGGCCAGCCACAAAGCAGCTCCCACGTCTGGGCCAGCGGAGGGAGAAGGAGGAGGACGAGGAGGAAGAGGCAGTTGGATGAGCGGGGGGGAACCCCCAAATGCCTCCCGAACCCAGGCCAGCCAGAAGCAACTGGCAGACCCCATTCGCGCTCACCCCCGCTACGTGGGACCCCACCTCCGGGACCTCCTCCGAACTCCGACGTCACAAAAAAAAAATCACGACGGCGCTGGATGGATGTTCCACGCTTGCGGCTTCTGGCGGCACTTTCTGGTGGCATAGGCGGAGGAGGAGGAGGAGGAGGAGGAGGAGGAGGAGGAGAAGGACGGAGGAGGAGGATGGAACAGGAGGACGGGCGAGGACGGAGGAAGAGGAGGAATAATCAAACAATCAATCCGCAAGAACTCCTTAGCGACTTTAGCGCCTTCGTTTCCCCAAGCCTTCGAGCGGGTTCACTTTTTTTCGAGCCGCTGGCCCTGCGGGCCTCTCGAACCGTTCTGGAGGCTGCTCGCCCCGAAGCGCTTCTGACGGGCACAGCAAGCGGCCCCCGAGCCACAAGACCAGCGGGATACCTCTGGCCAGAAGAGCTCCGCGTCGCCAAGACGCCAAGGCGCCAAGACGCGCCCTCCCCCCGAGAGGCCTCCTTCGGAAGCCTGCGACAGGGCCAGAGGCGCTCGGTCCGCCTTTTCTTCTTCGGCTTCCCGCTCCTCCAACTCCGCGAGCCCACGTCGAACCTACGAATCCACGTCGAGCCCGCGTCAAATACGCGTCAGCCCTGCGCCGACTCCGCGCCGGACACACGAAAATAATGCCATTTCACAGGACAGACAGGGCCCCCCCGAAGCTGCAACGCAACCAGGAATCCACGTATCTTCCCTGCTCTACTGCACTCAAGCCCGCGGTGAACAAAAGAGACGACCGCGGTTTAGAGCACAGAAACAGCCCCCCAAAAATGACAAACATCGGACCCGCATCGGACCCGCATATATACATATTTTAGATACATATATATATATATATATATATATATATATATATATATATATATATATATATATTATATATATACCGGGCGTCCAGGTCCCCGGGCCCAGGGGCAGCCCACTTTTCCAAAACTCCCCCACCCCCCCCGCACCCGACTTTAGTCACCGGCGCCGGCGAGCCTATTTGAACGCTCCAGGGCGCTCCCTGCGCCTCGGAAGCCCCCCTTGGCGCCCGCGGAGGGCGCCCAGAGGCCGCCAAGACAGCCCGAGAGCGCACCAAGCCGCCGAAGATGGCCCCGCGATGGCCCAAGAGGCCCCCAAGAGGCCCCAAGAGCGCTCCAAGAGAACCTCCAAGAAGGCCCCAGGAGGCCAACACTGTCGATGTTCATTGTGTTTTTCGCTGTTTTTTGCTGTTCGCGTTTTCGGGTTTCCGACACGCCAAGACTACGCAAAAAACCTCCAACATCGTCCCAAGAGGGCCCAAGAGGTCCCCAAGATGCCCCCAAGCCGGCCCAAGAGAGCCCCCAAACGGCCCGAGAGAGGCCCAAGACGGCCCACGTCGAGCTTTCCGCCCCAAGAGGCCCCCGAGAGGCCCCCAAGAGGCCCAAAAGAGCCCCCAAAAAGAGAACCTAAGCGCGCGCGAAACGCGCGCGTGGTTCTAGTGTGTTTATATATATATATATATACACATATATACATATATATATATATATATATATATATATATATATATAATATATATATATATATATATTATATATATATATATATTTCGGCGCAACCAGAGCGCTGTATTCAAAGGAAGAGGGCCCGCCCGAGCTACCCATAAGTTTTGAAAAACCCCCACACACCAACACCGGCCCACACTGGCCCACGCCAGCCCACCAGCCAGAGCTCGCCGAATACCCCCCACCCGCACTGGCTCACCAGGAGGCCCCGGCAGCCAGCAGGGTGGAGGTTTCAGCGAGCCCCGAGTGCTAGGAACTTCTGAGGGTACTCTGGGGGGGACCAAGACACTGAGAATCAACAGGCATTCACGCACGAACATGCGCTATGACGAGGTTCTCAGACTGAATAGGCATGCGCTATATCGAGTACGCCAGGCAGAGACACGGGAGGTGGCCCAAGCAAACTGCGGATGACCCCCTTGGGGTCGGCTGCGCCGAACGTTCCACGGGAGCCACTCAGTATAAGCTACTCGGGGAAATGCCATATACCCCGACCCTCCGCTTTTCTTCGGCGCAGCCAGAGCGCTGTGTTCAAAGGAAGAGGGCCCGCCCGAGCTACCCAGAAGTTTTGAGAAAAAAAAAAAGAAAAAAAAAACGCACCAACACCGGCCCGCACTGGCCCACGCCAGCCCACCAGCCAGAGCTCGCCGAATACCCCCCACCCGCACTGGCTCACCAGGAGGCCCCGGCAGCCAGCAGGGTGGAGGTTTCAGCGAGCCCCGAGTGCTAGGAACTTCTGAGGGTACTCTGGGGGGGACCAGGACGCTTCCATGACCCCTACTCTGCACAGACTGCGTCGCAGGATGGGCGTTCCCCCCCTTATGCATGCCCCGCCTGGCGCCTCTCCGGAAACTGTCATCAGAAGGGAGAGGAAGTGGATGAAGTCTGAAAGGAGGGGGTCGGAGGAGAGGGAAGCACCCTTCAGACATGGGAGGCGAGCGCGCGGGCATCCGCAAGCTGCAGATCCAACAACTGCAGCTCGGCCAGCGCGGCCACCGCGTCCTGCACGTAGATCCGCGCAGACCGCGCGCTCGCCCACCTCCCCCTCAGCAGGGTCAGCTCGAGGCTGTCATGCTCCAAAAAGTCACGCGTGGCGCCTCCGCGCCGAAACGAATACAAGGTCACCCTCTCATCGGTGAGGCCCAGCGCGACCACCGCGCGCCTGAAGAGCCGCATGAACTCACCCCTCTCGATGTTCAGGATGAGCTCGTCTGGCGGCAGCTGCTGCACATGCTGCACCAGCAGCTTCACCGCGACCCTGGAGCGGATCATGACGAGCTCAAGCCTGCCGTCTCGCTGCCCCGTCTTAGTGTTGCGGAGCGCCACGATTGCTGACATCCGCCGCTGAAACATGCGAATGTCCTTCCGCCTCAGTTGAATCATCTCACCACTGCGCAGCATCCCTGCGTAGCCGACGGCGAGCAAGGCGCCCGCCCGCGGCAAGCCCCGCCAGCAGAAGGCCCCTGCAAAGGCGAGGGCGAGCAGCGGCGGCATCGGCATGGCACGGGCGTTGGGCTCCAACTTAAGCCAAGTCTTTTGGAGCTTCCAACGCTGCTTCAACTTGCCCGACAGCGATGGACTGAAGAATGGCACCGCAGCGAGCACATTGTTCACTGCAAGTAGTGAGGCGCCCGTGCGCCATACGTGCTCGATGTACAGGGCAACGCCTTGGTCGACATCTTGCACACGCTTTGGGCGCAGCTGCTGCTCGT